AATGACCTGAAACAATAAAATTCTTGCAGTCTCAGATTCCTTCCTTTGAATTTACAGAGTACAAATACCTACATAAGTAAATTATGAATACAATTAGTAAATTACTTTTACAACATGTCTTTTCAGCAATTCCTCTACATTTCTATAATTTTGGCTATTCCGATTTCTGGTAGCTTTGCTTTATAATCTTCTTTTTCAGTCATACAGTTCATCCCAAACAGAAAGAAAAAGCCAGAGTTACAATCATCGAGTTTTTAAGTAAAATACTGTCAAAGGAAAAACCCAAGCACCCAGATCCACCAATACCCAGTGAGGCCGACCAGCCTCTGTAGAGCCCTCCCCTGGAGAGGCTGGAAAGGTTCCTCCTGTTCAACTTGCCTAGAAATCATAACATTGGACAATGACCATCTGAATCATACAAGGGATATTTTATAGAGCAGAATGGACAGGCAAAAATAGAACTTATCAGGTTTCTGAGGCATAAGTCTTTATAATGGCCTCTCCTCTCCATGAAGTCTGGCCCGCGGTAAAGCCTCTGGCCGCCTGAGCACCAAGACATCACGGGTGCTCCGAGGCTGTTCCTTCAGGCCCCAATCCTCTTCCCCAACACACTACTTGTAAAGCAATATTAAAAGACTCTTGCCAGGTGTAATGGAGCACATCCCGGCAATTCAGAAGGCTGAGGAAGGAGGATGGCAAATTCCAGGCCAGCCTGTGCAACTCAGAAAGAGCCTATCTCAATAATGAAACAATAACCCTCTTGGCATACCATTCAAGTTCCCAAAACAGAGACATCTCCTTTCTATCTGAATACCAATGACTAAGAGAGAAGGAAAGGGCCCTGAAAAACAAACTCCTCTCTTGCCCTCTTCCAGCTGGAAACCACTCACTTTAAAACTTGATTTGGTCATTTTTTCTCTTTCTTCTTTTCAGGGGATGGAACATAGGGCCTCATGCATGCAAGGCAGCCACTCTACCACGGGGCTACATCCCCAATCCTCCACAAACTCAAATCTCTATCACATTGCTGTAGTTTTATTTGGGGAAAAAATGATGCATTCCGGCCTTGAAGTCTCCAAGGACATAAATGAGTCAAGCTCACCTCTGAACTCACCCTCTCTGCCCCCGCCACCCTGATCCAGACTACCACCACCTCTCCCCTGGGCTACTGCTACTACAAGTCTTTTACCTGCTTCTGCTCTCTTTCTCTGAGAGGCATCCTCTCACACTCAGGACACATTCTACACTGCCCAGCTTGGCCTGCATGTTTCTGCACAAGCCAGCCCTGGCCACCTTCTCCCACCTCCCTTTAAACTCCCCACAAGAGCTCCACTGCAAATGCAGAGAGGGTTGCTTCTCACAGTTGCCACTGCCTGTGGATGCCTCTAGAATTTACAAGGCTCTCTCACTCCATACAAGCTTCTCCGATGTCCAAGAGCCCTTGCCAGGCACCCTGGGTAAATTAGTTTGTACCCTTTATGAAGGGAGAATGAAAAATTCATATTCCAGGGCTGGCTTCCAAAGAAGCCAACAAACGTAGTGTGAAGATGAGCACTGCTTTGAGAAAGCCTGGCTATGCTCCTAAATAACTAAGAGATATCACTTTCCTAACAGCCCAAGTCTTCAAACACCAACAGCACAGATCTTAAGGTTCTCATTTCACAGAATGCTCTAAGAAGGCCACCCCTACTTATCACTATTTTCTAGACTCTAAAGTGTGAGAAAGGAACACATGCAAACAGGACAGAATAAAGCAATAACTATGAATCAAACTTTTGTGGGACCATGTATCAAAAGGGATTATTTGCAGGCATCTGCTTCAGGAGGGCTGAGCCAGCTCCTACCAGATAATCCTCCTGCGGATGGCAATCAAGCTCTGTACAAATATACCGAGAGGACACCTTCCTGAAGGCAATGGTGAGGGAGCCACTCACGGCACACTATGGAGTGGAGCTGACATGTAGAGGGAAGGAAGTGCTGATACAGGAGAGAGCACAGAGCCAGGGCCGGGAAGGACAGCTGGAACCCTCAGACCAAATCCAGTCAGGCTGTCCTGAAGGATAAGAGGAAAGAGTCTGGGGCAACCACTGGCCCGGAAAGACAGGAGGAAATTCCAAAAAGGAGAAAACCAGAGAGGGGGAGCTCCCAGTGCTGGGTATAAACCGGTCTCTGGCTCACTTCAACCCTGCGCATGCTTGGTGCAGGTTGTAAGCAGACCAGCTAAATATAAAAGAACTCAACGAACTGTGGAGCAGCCATTAAGAGAACTTTTAGTCTGGGTCCAAATTATCTGCCTCGTAAGACAAAAAGAGCAACACTTTTCAAAATAAAAAAATCACGGAAAGCAATGCCAAGGAACATCAAAATCAAACTGCTAAAAGCCAAAGATAAGGAAAAGATCCTGTAAGCAGACAGAGAAAGCCACACATAACACACAGGGGAAGCCCACTGACTATCACCAGGAACAGCAGAATGTCTTTAAGGGGCCCTGAAAACATGGTCCCAACCTAGTGGGGACTTTTTCAAGAGAACGGACATCAGAGTTGTTGGCAGAGTAACACTCTCCATCTGACTTCCATCAGACATCTCTGTGGCTGTGCTGCAGGAGCCAAGGTGCTTGACTCAACTGTTAGCAAAGAATGCAAGGGACACAGGGTGAAGGACAGCTGGGACTCTCCGACAAAATCCAGTCATTCTGGCCCGAAGGATAAGAGGAAGGAAAGACACAGAGAGAGCAGACAGCACCACCACATCTCCCTGCAGCGGCCCTACAGCATTCAGTGAGAGCAGCACACTTCTCCCCTTTCCCCGCAGGTCCTGGCTCCTTGCCCATTCACTATTCCATTTGAGCTGGAATTCTCTTTGCATACAGCAAGTGGAAATAAAGTGTCCAAGGACACTTTTATTCTAAGCCAGACCCCTTTGTTATGTAATTAATTATTAGAAAAGAATGGGGAATTTTAGTATAGAAGATCTACCAGGTGCCACTAAAATAGCTGGGGCTCAACAGATTTCACAGTTCACACATGATCTAGAACTTATGCATATTGCTTAGTTGAGAAGCTGAGCAGAAGAGAAACACAAGTTGCTCAGCATTTTCTGAAATGACAGAGGTTCCTGGGTTGATTCACTTAACCAATGTGCTGACTTTGAGTCACTTTTCCTAAGGACTGGAATCTGAGACTGCCTGGGAAGCACCGTGCTGCTGAGTTTATAAGCCCTGTTAATCCTAACACAATGAATAGGTGATGTCCGCATCTAGGTGGAAAGCCACTCTGAGGCACAACATAGTAGTGCCTCTCTGACAGGGGAGGCAGACAGCTGCCACTGTCTCTCTAGCCCTGATGCCTGCCTGCACCCATGTCAGAAATTCCAACTGCTGCCCAAAACACCTGCTTCTCTTAAATGGAAAGAAGTCAAAATTTTTAGAGAATGGTGTGAGACCTCCAGCATGAAACTGTTGCCACATTTTAAAAGAACTAGAAAAAAACTGCATCCCTAATATGAGCTTTCTAGAATGGCCCTCTATTTGGAAAGTTTCAGGCTCTTCCGAATAGGTTATGCATTAATTGCAGTGTGCTGCCCAGCAATAAAGAGGACTGCATATTTCCTACCAGTGTTAAAGAAAGAACAGTTCTAGTAAGTGCTCCAATGAACTCCAGTTCATGGTTTACCAGGTGGCACCAGCTTCTCCACATCCTGACCAAACTCAAAGAACACGCAGGAAAAACGGAAAGCGTAGGCAGCTCTGATATCCCACTGTGGGATGGCATCTGCCCTTTGCAGAGTAAGTGCTGCTGCCGCTTTTATTTTATTTCTTAATTCAGTGACAGTTATGAAGTTGTAACTAAGAAAGGAAATGAGTAAAATTCACTTAGGAAAAAGTTTGTAAAGGAGATTTCTTAATATACAAGATAAACTCTGGGATGGAAAGAATCCTAGTCTTTCTTTGATTGGTTTCACACAAATCATCCCTAAAAATCACCAATTTTCTTAAGCAAGACTCTAGTTGATGCATGGCCCATCAGACCTTTTGTTGTTCTTTGCTACCTTTTTCTAGAAAGTACCAATGTTGCAAGGTAAGTAGTTGACAGGTCTGCTTTAAGGCCTCACATCTCTCTTGCAGATCACCAGTTTAATTCAAGCAGGTAGATACAAAAGCCTCAGAATGCCACCCAGTCCTACATGTTTAGATCTTATCTTTCCTGTAAAATAACAGCATGTAAACATCAGACATGGAGTAAAGAATGAGAAAGACGGGCTGGGGCTGGGGCTCAGCAGTAGAGCATTTGCCTAGCATGTGTGAGGCACTGGGTTCGATCTTCAGCACCACATATAAATAGATAGATTGGGGGGGGGGGGCACTGTGTCCATCTACAACTAAAATTTTAAAAATAAAGAACAAGAGAAAGACCCTGCAAGATACTCTAGAATAAAGAAGGCTCTCCAACTCCCAAATATCAAACCCCACTCCACCCTTCCAGAGGCTTCCAGAGGATCCTGTGAATGACATCATTCTCCTCCCAAATCCTCTGGGATGATTAAAAACTGAAGCTTCTGGAATCAGACATTGTAAAGCTCACCTCCTCCATTACTCATCATGGCCTTGAGCAAATTAATCAACTCTCCGAGCCTCAGTTCCCACAGATACAAAATGAAGAAACACTGATAATCATACATCATATAACCCTAATTACAGTGCCTGAATCCTAAGTTCTTCCTGACCATGAGCTTTCTCATCACTATGATTAGCAGGGATAACTGCACAGGTCCAGTAGCAATGTTAGCGGTGGCAGTGCTCAGGCGACTTAGGAAGTAAGTAGCAGCAATGAGCTGGCAAGGCCTAAAGAAGTAACAAGCAGAAATTTCACGGGAAAAGTCATCTGTACCCGTGTTTAAAAAGATGTACATTCCTCGCCAGTAAGAGTTAAGATAGCTAAAGGGAAAGGCATTAGGAGTGAAGTACATGCATCAAGAGAGACTGCCCATCTTTGCATTACCATGATGGGGACGCCAATGTCAGGCCACAGAAGGTCCTCTGATGGCAGCTTGGGAGAATTCCACACCACCACCACTTTGTTCAGGTACGGGAGGCCGTTCAGCCTCTCCAAGGAGTTCATGAGCACCTCCTCGCGCTCATAAGTCAACATCACCACTGTGAATTGCTCTCGGGGCACGTTACCACCAAGTGCAGCCTGAAACTCCTTGCCAGAACCCCCAGCCCCACCACCAATAGGCCGAAACCCAGTCCCTGAGCCCAAGAACTTGGCCTCTGAGGGCAACACAGGGTCAAAGGGAGTGTGGGGAAAAAGATGGAAAGGTCCTGGAGCAGAGTTCCAGCTGCGGTAGAAGTCAGTGACGGTCAGAGTGAAGTTGCGGAGGTATTTGGGTGAGGCGTAGGGTGGCTCCGTTTCTACTGGCCCCAGGTCCAGGTCCCCGTTGTCAGCCATATTGGGGTCAGTTCCAGCCGCCTTGCCTGAACGATGGGGAATCTCAGCTGCTACCTCTTCCCGGATGGGAGCAGCTGGGATCTGAAGGCGAGTCCTAATCATGGCCAGCACGGTATTAAAAATACTGTCAGCGGTGGAGAAGTATGTCTCCCAGAGAAAGCGGCCTTGCCGCCTCATGGCCAGCAGATCACTATCAGAGAGACTGCGTAACAGGAAGTGGACCTCGGTGACACGAGGCTTGGGCACCACGAGGGCCGCCTCGTTCCACTGCAGCATGTCCTGGTAAGGAAGCTGGACTTGTTCCCCTAGCACGACTGGGACAGCACCAACTTCCAGGGCTTCAAAGAGCCGTGTTGCACACCCAGATGAAATAACCAAGTGAGGGTCCCCGGGAGTGATGATAAGGGCAAAAGTGGACAGCTTCAGTAACTCCAGGCGGTCCTCCCGCTCCCCACACAGCGCCCACTCAGTCGGGAGACTGGGCTTGGGCTGGTTTTTGCAGGTAAACTCCACCAGGACCTGATCTAACTTGCTGTCCTGGACGGCCTTCAGGGTGGCAATGATCCGATCGTCATAGTCAGCAGGAGGGTCACCTTCCATCTCCTCTTCAAAGGAGCGGGCCTCCTGAAGGCTGGATCTCAAGGATTCGATCTTCTCACCCTGGAAGGTAAAGAGATATTTCCGCTTCACTGGCACCTGTGGTGGGATTTCCATGAAATTGGGTTCTGACATGGCATGGACCAGCGGCGAGACCACCAAGTCAAAGCCAGGTCTGTACTGCGCAGCATAGAAAGTGGACTGGGCCACCATGGCACGGCCTGTGCTGACATTGTATAGTAAATTCTGTGTGTCCGACTTGCGTGACAGGTTGATGATGACGTGGTTGTGTCCATCTGTCCGCCAATGTGGTAGGGAATACAGCTGTTTCTCAAGGTCAGATGGCCGCAGCACGACTGGGTCCTGCATTTCTCCCACTAATACCACATACAGGCAGGCAATGTCTGCATTTTCTGTAACATAAGCATTGGCTCGTGCTGTAGCCTGAAAAGCCTGCTTGACCAGGGGGTCCAGGTAGCTGCCCAAGGCAAACTGGTCACTGTCATAAACATAGACAGGAAAACCAGAGGTGAGAGGGCAGCGGGAATAATCAAAACAGTTGTGCAGGCGGCAACCCCTCGTGACCTTTGGGGGAGGAAGGCCAGTGTCATCCTTCTCTGGGAGCAGTCGGATAGGCAAAGAAAGTTTGGGCTGATTTTGGGCCATCAGCTCTTTGTAAGAATGCTCAGTCTGGCTAATGACATTCTTGAGCTGCAGCAGGTCCTGCTTGGCGTTTTCAATACTCTTCTTACAGGCTTCGATCTTTAGGTTCAGCTTGGCGATTTCACTGTTCAGCTCCTGCCGCTTGGCTTCCAGCTGTAGGAGCTCCTCACTCACCGATTCGCGGATGCGGCAGAGGTCCAGCACGTGCTTCACCTCACAGAGCTCATTACCCGCCCGTGGGCCAAAAATCCGTTTGCCAGCCTCGTCTGCCTCATCCAGCGTGGTGAGATAATAGTGAGCAATGAGGGGGAAGAAAACCAGGATGATGAACAGTGTAAAGCTGAGCCACGTGAGCCGGATGCGGTTGGACCAGCGCAGCATGCAGGTCTGACCTCCATTCCCCACTCCCCCATTCCGCAACATGGTATAACCCGTCATGAGTTCTCTTGCCCCTCTGATCACGTTGGGTCACTCGCCATAACCGTGAGTTTCTAGTCAGAAAAACACAACCTCTTTCTCACTCACACGTTCCTAGAAGAGTGAGTGCACTCCCTGTACAAGGCACCACATAAAATGGAAATTTCATCTTCCTCAGCTGCTAATGACATGGTCCCTGACCCTGTTCCAGCAGGTTTTAAGTTCTGGCTGTTGATCAAAGAGCACGTCCTTAATCTTCACTGAACAGTAAAAGGTACCACATTGCTGCTGAGTTGGAAGGGAGGTACCGCATGATAAAACCCAGGAAAAATACCCTGGAATCACAAAGGCCATTTCAAAGGCCATAGCTCTTGTTCCTTGGCTTTGCTGACCAACAAATATGCATAGTTTCTACTGCACAGTTGTACAGTAGCTAGTCAGGTCCGCTGGCATTAGAACCACTGGCTCTTATCCACGTCTTTGCCAACAGCCAAGCCTGCAAGAGAAAAAGAACCATGTCAGTGTGTTGAAAAGATCATGTTCAACACCACTCCCACCCCAGCACATTTCTAGAAAATGCTTCACCTTCTAGGATCAAACAACGTTGGAACAAGAGTGTGTTTCTCAGAATACTGCCAATCCAAGGCAGAGACGCTGCCCGGCAGGTGTACACTGCTCGTGGTTGGTAAGTGCCCTCAACAGCTTCAGTCTACACCCACCCCCACCCAGCCTCTTCCTGTTTAACTAGATCTAGAGCAGCACTAGCGCCCCATCAAATGATGACCAGCTAAAATCAACAGTGGGCAAAGATGTCTTCAGTAACGATCTGGCCTCATTAGATGAAGAGAAACACCTTCCCACCAATCTTATTAGCAATGTTCACTTCCAATATTCAAACATCCTTTTGAACCACTTAACAAAAAAAAAAAAAAAACTCTAAAAGGCTCAATTTCTTAAATTTAGAACTGAAAAGAATTGAAGAGAACTCTTTTGTTCTTCAGCCAGTAGCAGATTCAGTAATCCAGAGACAAAAGGTATTTCCCAGTTTGCTTCTATTTATCTTCCATTAGCAGACACCATGTGCTCCTTCTTAAACCAGAAATAGTAACTTGGCCTTTTAGAAATGAGAGGCATCATTTCTTATCCTTGGGGGACAGATGTGCTATCAGACCACATGCCTATCAGGGCCCTAATCTTCTAAAATGGAGATGAGTGCGTGGAGGTAACAATATGTTGTGTGGCTCTGAAAATAAAGCAGAGCACATGAGGAACTTTTGGCTCTTCCATCTTGAAACAAATCCCCAGTCCTCTTCTCTCAAACTTTACTTTACCATCAGAGGCTACAGAATCTTTCCGCCTGCTCTCTCCACAAACTCAGCATATCTAGAAGTCAGTTATAATACACTGTGCCAAATTCCTGAATGAATATTTCATTTATTTCTTCCCCCAAAAAGCGTTCACATACTCTTGATGCATCTGACAAGCTATCATAACTGGGAGGCTCTAGAACGCACAGTGGTCCTTGACTTCAGGAAATTCTCTTAGCCTGGAGACAAGATGGACATAGTAAGGGCACTGCCATAAGTCAGGGCTCAGCCACTCTCTGCCTCTACCTGAGCTCAAGATGTACAACTATGAAAGGTCTGGTAGAGTCTTCACTCACACGTAAGTAACAAAGAGCTGCTATCAGTGTTGCTAAAAGGTTTCAGTAGAACAAGTGAGAACAAAACAAAACAAAAAAAATCTATCCAGGAAAATACAGAATTTGGATCATCTCAACCTAGATAAGTAACAGCTAGTCAAATACTGCAGAGAACCCAGAGAGGCCAGTATTTCACAGACCTGACATCGCCCTTCTGTTCCAAAGGGCTGACTCTCTCTGCGGCACTGACGGACAGGAGGGCACGGGGTAGAGGGCAAGACGAGCAGCAGCACAACACTCACCTCCTTCTTTCCACACACCAGGAGCCTCCTTTCTCGGGCTTATGTCACTTTATCCTTCCGTAAACAACTTCTTAAAATAGTGAACACCAGGGTTTGCTCTCCTGATTTAAAAAGGAAATATAAAAGAAACACACTATTAGTAAAATACCCAATGCTGAAGGTACTATTGAAGAATTTACTCAGTGTTCCTCTGAAAAAACTCTCCTTGCATAAATAAAAAAAAAAAACACAGAATTCACTGTCCCAAAAGACACTCTCTTAAGTGAAAACAATTCTACTGATAACTACACTAGGACAACAGGTACAAAATGGGACCCTCACAGCAAACCACACAGCTATGTGACCCGCTTACGTGCCTGAAGGAGAAATAAAACAGAGCACTGAAATGTGGGAAATCCTTGCCTTTACAAGTAGATGCTGAGCGATTTATAGATGATGGCACACTTGGGATCTGTTTCAAAATAAACAGGGGCAGTGAGGAGGGCCAGGTGAACCAAAAAGAGCCAGAGCTGACTGGTACTGGCACAGAATGATGGGTAAATGTGGGGAATTATCATATTACGTTCTTTGCTTTTGCTTACGTTTGAATGTCTCCATACCAAAAATTCCCAAAAAAATTACATACAGAATGTAAGCAAATTTTTTTTAAAAGTCACTCAGAGACTGACAATTCCTAGTCTAATATATCCAGTGCTACTAACTCACAGAGATGTGAGTAGAAACAAACATTCTAATGGAAACCAAGCTAGGTGCAGTGGCACACGTCCATAAAATCCCCACTACTCAGGAAGTTTGGGGCAGGAGGATCACAAGTTTGAGGCCAGCCTTAGCAACTTAGTGAGATCCTGTCTCAAAATAAAAAATAAAAACGGCTGGAGGAAGATGGAGTTGTGGCTCAGTGGTAGAGCGCTTGCCTGGCATGTGTAAGGCCCTGGATTCGATCCTCAGCACCACATATAAATAAATAAGTTAAAGATCCATTGACAACTAAAAAAAAAGAAAAAAAAAATTTTAAGTGCTGGGGAAGGAGCTCAGAGGTTAAGTACCCCTAGGTTCAGTCCCCAGAACTTATAACTATAATAATAATAGTGGAAACCAATAATTCAACAATAATTCAAAAGAACGCATCCCCATTAACTTCTATCTCTTTAACTGAAATAAGACAGAAGTCAATGTCCAACAGCAGGAACTTCCCTTCCTAAATAGCTAATTAAATTATTTAAAGCACAAAAGAAAACGACACTCAGGATCTCTTCTGTCATTCTCTGGAAAATGACAATAAAGTATCAGGATCTAGAAACAAATATCCCTGCAACACTGATAAGGGAACAACCTCTAGAGACTTAAGTCAAACACAGTACGTGGCTTACTAACTCTCAGTCACCCCCAGAGCATGTAGACCTAACCTGCCAGCCTGCTTCTGTTCCTGACCCCATGACATATCCTACAGAGCAGCCAGGATGCTCTTCTTCAAACACAAATTAGATGTCTCTCTCCCTTTCCGAGGAATCACAGGAGATTCCCATTGCACTATCACCCCTACCCGAGTGCAACGGCCCCCGCTGCTCCCTGTGCTCAGCCAACTTTGGCCACACTGGCCTCCTTTCAACTCCTCGGCCTTGCCAAGCTCTGTACTGCCTTGGAACCTTCAGACTGGCTGCTCTTTTTCCTGGTGACTCTCATCCCTCAGGTCAATTTTCTGAACATCCTCATTTTAAAGTTGCCTTTAATACCCCAGAAGCTTTCTGGCATTAACCTACTGATTTCCTCCGTATCTTTTTGTTCATTCATTCAGTACCACCTTCCCTGCCAAAACCTACCTACTGGGGGCAGGAGCTTTGTCTGCTGGGATCCCTGCCATGTCGCCAGCTCGCAGCACAGTTCATTAAACTCACCAAGTCTGTTAAATGAGTTGTGCCACTGATCCCTTCCTCCTCTGCACACTCCCAGCCCTCGCCTGGATTTCCATGAAACGGTACTTTTTGGTGTTCCCACTCATCTCCCTGACTGCTGTTACCATTCTGCTTCAGTAGGTATAGTCTTCCTCCTACCTAAAGTGTTCCCCCAAGGCTTTTGACAACATCTGTTAAGAAATGGCTTCAACCATCACCTATAATCATACTATCCCCAAAACCACGAGTTCAACCCTAGTCTTTCTGTCTTATACTAGTAGTTCAGTATTCCCAGCTCCCTAAAGATCTCTCTCCTAGCCTGTCGCATGCCTACAATCCCAGCAATCTGGGAGCCGGAGGAGGGGGACCAAAGTTTGAGGCCAGCTCAGAAACTTAGCAAGATCCTGTCTCAAAATAAAATACAAAAATGGCTGAAGATGTGGTTCCATGGTAGAGCACCCCTGGGTTCAATCTACAATAATCCCCCGCCAAAAAAAAAAAAAAATCTTTTAAGGATTTTTTTTTTTTTAGTTGTTGATAGGCCTTTATTTTATTTATTTATATGAGGTGCTGAGAATCAAACCCAGTACCTCACACATGCTAGGCAAGTGCTCTACCACTGAACTACAACCCCAGCCCAAAAATAACTTCTTTAAATTAAAATAAATAAGCTGAGCATGGTGGTGCATGCCTGTAATTCCAGTGACCTGAGAGGTGAAGGCAGGAGGGTCAGAAGTTTGAGGCCAGTCTCAGTGCCTTAGCAAGATCTTCAACAACTTAATGAGAACTTTCCTCAAAAATGGGCCAGGGATGTAGCTTAGTGGGATGTGGCACTCCTGGGTTCAATTCCCAGTCCAGGGGGTGGAAAAAAGCCCTCTCCTAAGATATGTTACAATCAGCTCAGGCCTTCAAACACTTCCTCTTTCCACTACTTTCCATTATGCCCATGACGCGACATTCCTCCAGCCACAGGAAAACTACCGACCACGGAGCAGCCAGGCCAGGACCCAACCCCTCAGGAAGCTGTCAGAGGCTCAGCTGACCATTCTGAGACACTTTTCTTCATGAATAAGAAGATATCACCAATGTTCAGAGTTGATATAAAGGTTAGAGATAGTGGGGGCTGGGGCTCAGCACTAGAGCGCTTGTCTCACATGTGTGAGGCCCTGGGTTTGATCCTCAGCACCACATAAATAAAATTAAAAGGTACTGTGTCCACCTACAACTAAAAACAATATTAAAAACAAAAAAGATTAGATAGTGAATAAAACACACTGCACAGTATCTAGCACAAATGAAGACACATATTAGCTATAAGCCTTGAGTTATTTTTAACTCCTCCAACTCCTTACATCCATATTGATTTGCCAATTCTTTATTGAAATATATTATGATAATGATGAAGTCTGCATTTATCCCTTTCCTGTATATTTCTTTTATTACTCTACTGTCTTCACCAGTCCTAGCCCACAACAAATTATAATGCCTAATCTCACATTTTCCACCAGTTCACTCTGTATTACCCTAAATCAGTATTTTTTTTTTTTTAATCTTATTTAGTACTCCAGCTTGAATAATTTCAAGTTCTCCAATCCATTCTTCGGATATATCCAGCCCACTGTAAATGCCATCCAAAACATTCTTAATTTCAAGTACTATATTTTTCAGGTCTAGAATGTCCATTAGACTCTTATTTAGATACAGGATTTCAAGTGCAGAATGGTATATCTATCCATTTTTTTCTCTTTCCCTCTATTTTCTTTATCACATTTATAAGATTTTTTTTTTCATTCATTACTAAAGATTGAACCCAAAGGCACTTCATCACTGAGCTACAGCCCTAGTCCATTTTCTCAATTTTTAAATTTTGAGACAAGGTCTCACCAGCTGGCCAGGAACTTGCAATCCTCCTGCCTCATCCTCCCTCATACCTGGGGTTATAAGCATGTACCTCCTCACCCAACAAAAAATTAAATTTTTTATCTGCTAACTCCAACACCAGGACACTTATGGACTTGAACCCCACCATGATGCCACCTGTCATGAGGTGACACATTACAAAACCAAAAGGGCCTTTGCCAGAGCCATCAGAATGCTGTTCTGACTTTCAGCCTCCAAAGCTGTAAATAAATCTCTTTAATTTATACACTACTCAGCCTCAAGTATTTCATTATTGTGACAGAAAACAGACTAATACAGTATTATAATTAATATAGAAATGATTTAAAGTGCCCAGGAGGATATGTGCAGGTGCACACAAATACTATGCCATTTTACATAAGGGACCTGAGGTATCTATAGCTTTGGGTACCTGCAGGAGGTCCTGGAACCAATCCCACCCTACCCACATACTAAGCACCTCTGTATTCAATTTATCTTTTTTGTTATCATTAAAGTGGTTACACGTATTCTTGACTCAATCAAGTCAAAAGTTTAATGATATTTCTAACATTTTCTTCCACCTCAAAAGACCCTTAGAACATTACCTGTGCTAACCTACATTGAATTAAATGTCATTATTAAGGTTTTAGCTCCACTTTTTTTATCCTCTCATCATGCTCTCAGTGGCATAACTGATGCCTGTTTATATATTCGCACATGTATTTGCCAATTTTCTTGCTCACAATTTTATTCCTTTTGGCATTTCATTCCTTCCGATAGTTTCTTTTATTCGAAAGCAGTGTCTTCAGTGAGAGTCTGCAAACACACTATTTCCTCCTGATTCTTGAATGTTGACTTAGTGGGGCATACGAGATCAGGTTTTCCTTTTCCACCAACACTGTGAAGAACCCTCTGGATGTCATCATCCTCAGTGAAAAGACATCTCAGTCCAACAAGTACCTTGTGGGAAATCTGACTTCTCATTCGGGTTGCTTTAAAGACATTTTTGTCTTTGAACTTCTGCAGTTTCAATACAAAGTGTCTACTTGTGGAAGTTTTTGGTTTTGGCTCAAAAAAAAAAAAAACACTGAACTTTCTGTATCATAGGTTTCATGTCTTCATTAATCTAGAAAATTACGAGCCATTATCTTTGTGAATCTTATCTGTCCCTCAATCTCTCCTTGAACTCCTATTAGAGGACAGGATACATCTCAGACATCCTCCTCCATCCCTTGAATCTCTTTTTTCTCTGCCCCTTGTGCTAGTTTCTGGACATTTCCTCATATTTGTATAGTTTAGGGGTTGGGGAACTTTTTCAAAGAGCCAGT